AAATTAATTAAGTAATTATTCATAATAAATTTGTGTTAATTTTTCTAAAATACTTATTTGATCATTATCCTATTCATGAGAAAAAAATTTCATGTACAAAGGCAATCAATAGAAATAACTTGAAAAAAATATTATAAATTTTATAGACAAAACATATTAGGGTCTTCTATTTAAGATCAAAACATATACCCCAACTAAATCCTGTGTTTAGGACTAGCGGGAGCAATTATCTTTTTTTATGACGTCCTCTTTTTGTAACTTGAAAAATAAAACAAAAATAATAATAAAATTGCATTTTCTATATCATATCATGATAAGTCAAAGGAAGCCCATATTTTCTTTGGCATGAAAAGAAAGAAACGGAGAATGATTAGTGGAGCTTGTTTGGTATGAGACTATGAGCGAATGGAAAAAGTAAGAAGAAAGCCAAAAATGGGAAAAGGCGTAACTACCCCCATGGCGTTAATCGATAAACTTGGGGTGTGTTTGGATGAAACCAAACCGTGGTTTCGAAAAGTGATTCTGGAAAATAGATTTTGGGAAGAATAGATTTTGGAAAGAATAAATGTTATGAAAAAGTGATTTTGAGAAGTGAGAGTGTTTGAATAGTTGTTATCAGAAGCACTTTTTATATATACAAATTACTAAAAAAAAGACATAAGTTAATATGATAATTACAGAAAAAATAGATTTTATGATATATTTTAATTTGAAGGAATAAAATTGTTAATAATATATTTTTTATTAACATAATTAATAATACATAAGATAATATAATTAATAAATAATTAATATGTATATATATTTTTAAAATATAAGATTAAATATGTTTATAAAAAATATGTTTATAAAAAAAATAACAAGATACATATCCTATAAACTCTCACACTCTCCCTTTTTTCTCCAAAAGCAAAAAATTTCTGTTTTTTCCAAAACCATGGTTTTAAAGCCAAAACCATGGTTTTGGTCCAAAACCATGGTTTGTCCAAAACCAGTGGGTGTTTGGGTGACTTATCACCCAAACCATAGTTTGGGGTGTCACCCAAACGGGGCCTTGGAAGAGCCGCAGGGGTATTCTTGTCTTAAGAAATTGCTTCCTAGGGTAACCTTCCGTATTCTTGAGTGAAAAGGTTTCATGTCACGTTTATGGAAGACTTGGTGTGGACCCCGTTCTTTTTAGATCGATTTAAACTTGGCATTTGTTCAAAAGAAAAACTAATTTAATGATAAAATTTTAGAGAGAGAGAGAGAGAGGTATCCCATTCTAAAATGGTAAAGAGCATGGATTTATTTTATTTTGTTTGCTAAAAAAAACTGTAGTAACTTTCTTCCATTTTTTAATTTTTGTTCATGTTAATATTACAATGGCCTTTAGAAAAGTATTATATTTATCATTAGGATATGGGCTTGCCCCTTGCTGATATTGAAAAGGAAAGCAGAGAATAAAATAAGGCCGTATGCTTTACAGATCGCCGTCAATAAATTAGGGAGATCTAAATTTGAAAAACGACAAATAAAAAACTATGGCCTCGTGTTTTTTAAAAAAAAATTTAAAAAATGTTTAATTACTTATTTTCAGTTAAATATTTTTAAAATGAAAATACAAAAATTTGTTTTTAAAAATTAAAAACGAAAACGATTTTTAGTTGTTTTCTTATTTTTTATTCGAAAAAATTGAGAAATTCTTTTTTTCACTAGTAACATTTTCCTCACTTGAGAATATGAGTTTTCATTGAAGTTTCACCCTCTAATCCTATTTTTAAATACAATTTTTCAGAGCAATTATCTAAATAGATTTTTTTTTCTGTTTTCAAAACTTGTTTTAAAAAATGATTTTATAAATGTTTTTGAGAAAGTCGAAAACAGAAACAAACAGGGCTTATGAAATTCTTTAATACCATGTATCAAATTAAAACTTAACTTGGATTTATCGGTCATACCAAAAGTTTTGAATAACCAAATTGTATTTTTTTTTTTCTCGTATTGAGCCTAAGGCGATGTTATTTTGAGTTCAAAAGAAAAAACTAATGGTCCTTTGGATTTATACTTTAATTCAAAAATTTGTTTTGCTAAATTATATGTGATTTATATATGAATTTTTTGTTTATTTATGATTATACTTTGTTCTTTAAAATTGCTCTTTTTAAGATTATGGGTAAATTTTTTCTATATTTTAATTATGATTTGATTTCTCAATTACCAATTGACCTTTCAATTATCAGTTCAATTGGGTTAATCACCAATCTAGTTTCCACTTTTCATCCCTTTCTCATATGTATAATGTATTAGTTAGACGGCATTTTTTTAGATTATAATATTTCCATTGGTAATGAGGAATTAATTATAGGTCATCTTAATTGAATTGGCTAGCACAAGTTGGCAAAATATATATAATGAAAATATGCCTTTTCTAGTGGGAATGCTTTAGCAGGCATGATTAATTACTCACAAACCCCCTTTTTTCATTAATATATAAAAGAATATGATTTTCAATAAAATAATATTGGATAAGTATATTTGTTTAGAAAAATGATAATGTTATTTTTCTTTTGCAAATCTAATCCATTCAATTTCTATAATTAAAAAAAATAAAGATTCAACTTTTATCTTTCATGACCAGGTCATTACGCACATTCCAATACCCCCTTTTTGTAATTTCTTTGTGTAGTTAATTTACGTCAACACAACAAAGATTTAAATAGAGAAAATAGTAAATAAAGATCCTCAATATGTGAAATTGTGATTTGAGACCCTCAATTTGAAAAATAACAAATAAAGACCCGGTTTCATATTGCAAATATGAAATCTTAGCGAAATGACTGAAATGCCCCTCATCCGGGTTGTGATTTGGTATACTAAAGTTGTCATTCGCTAAAGTGAACTTGTCATTTCTTATAGTCAACTTATCATTTGACATACACTCAGCAAGGTGTGATTTGATCTACTGAAATTGTCATTTGCTAAAGTGAACTTATTATTTTCCATAGTCAACTTGTTACTTGGCTAAGAGGCATTTTAGACATTTCACTAAGATTTCATATTTCCAATATGAGATCGGGTCTTTATTTGTTATTTTTCAAATTGAGGGTCCCAAATCAGGATTTCACATGTTGAGAGTTTTTATTTGTCATTTTCTCATTTAAATATGACTCTTATAATAAAAGCGTACCCTTATTTTATGAACATTGCACACTCACATGGTCTAATACTTAAATTAGTGAAAATTAATTAATGTAGAGTAGTTTACAAAAAATTCATTGCTCTGGACCAATATGGAAAATTGGTTGGCATAACCTAAAAAATAATCAATCTTAACGAAATATGAAATCTAATAAAAATAATCATAAGATTCTCTCGAGTTGTAATATAATAGATTATGATTCTCTCGTGAAAGAAGCAGCTTTTCACGAAACCAAGATAAATGATGCATAGGTCATGTGTACAAGTCTCATTTCTCTTAAGAATTATCTAATATCTAATGTATTTTATAGGTATTTTTATTTCATAAGGCGAATTTTTAATCCTATTTAACAGATAATGAATATATTTAATCAGAGTACAAGCATTTTGGGAACCAGTTTCGATACTTATAGCATTTTGTAATGGTTTGGATTTAAATTTTTTAAATAATAATTTTTAGATCAAAAAGTATTTCAAAAAAAACTCTCAATTAAAAGATTACATTTATTTTAGATTATCTATCTATTAAAAGAAAATAATTTTTTAAAAAATATATAAAAAATTAAATCTCAGCCATCTATATTAAATTTAAATGGTTGAAATTCAATTAGTGTCATGGTGATCATGATGAGCACCGAAATTGATACTTTCTTAGTATAAAAATTTATCAAGTCCTACTCAACATTATCACCAATAAAATTTTTAACAAGAAATTTTTCTCAGTTTTCCCATTTCTCAGAAAGCATTTTACTTAAATTTTCAAATAAAATAATGTGCACAAATCTAAAAGAAGAAGATAATAAGCCCAATAACCCTGTTTTCTACCATTGCATGAAGAACGCATTGGAATTATTATGGTGACAAATAGAATAATATAATGAAGCATAGGAATCAAAAGGAAAATCACTGGCCACCATTTTCTTGGTTACCTTAGAAATAGAATATTAAGTGTCACTTTCCAACAACCACATGTTGATTAATTTATATGAAGATTGTATTAAATACTTTTGAAACATCATGTTTAACAAGAACCTTTAAAATCAAATAAAAAAAATAACAATGTTGTTTTATCAAATTTTATTTTTCCAAAGCAGCCATATTTCTTCTTGTCGTTCAAACTTGGTGTACTTATAAAATTTGATACATTAATCATCACGTTTATGACTTGTGAACCACATTGCATATTGTAAATTTTAATCCTAACCATAAATTTAAGTTATAATTATTAAACATCACACATGAAAAAATTGGTTGAGCTAGTCTTTCGAATTGATGTTTTTCCTAGTTTATTAATTAATAAGTAGTAATAATTCATTCTTTGCTTATTGCTTCTAAAAAACAAGGAGTTAATGATAAATAAGGATATTTATGAAAAATGAGTATTTAATACTATGGACACAAGTTTTACATATATATATATATATATAATATGTTTGCATACAGGTATTCTTTTTAGCAGAAATTTCGTTTTGGAACACAATCAGCCACACCAATCTCTTGTTAATTAGCAGAAATTTGAATATTATTGGTTCGTCTTCTTTACAATCTAAACCCCCATGATTAATGGTATTTATATTTCAAACTAAAATTATGAGAAAATTGACTTGACCTATTTAAAATGACTTGGCCTATCTGAGTTGGACGAGAGAACAAAGCTACACAATCTATATATGAAGTGTATATAATATGAACACGACTCATTCATCCCAACAATAATCCAGGATTTCACTACCAGGATGTAATAATATAAGGGATATATATAGAGCCAGGAGGAAGAAGCAGACTCGCCAGTGTGGTTCATCACTATCTATTTCTCAACAATGTTGCAGCTTCTTTTCTCAACCTTTCTGCTTTGCTTCTCCTTCATTACACAGCTTCAGCAACCTGTGTATGCCATTAAAAAGGCAAGTGTGTTGTGTGTGGGTGTTATATATATATGTATGTATGTATGTACGCATGTATGTATCAACAACCTTCATTAATTTCACCGCTAATTGCAGTCGTACGTTGTATACCTGGGATCACATTCTCATGGCCCCCGACCTTCTTCTGCTGACATGGACTCTGCTACAAACTCCCAACATGATTTGCTCGCTTCTGTTCTGGGAAGGTACTGTCTGTTCTGTTCAATCTCAACATTGTCTTCATGATTAATGTAGATATATATATATATATATATATATATTGATGTGTTTGGCAGCCATGAGAAGGCCAAAGAAGCTATGTTTTACTCTTACAATAAACACATCAATGGCTTTGCTGCATTACTTGAAGACGAAGAGGCACAAGAGCTCCAAAGTAAGAGTTTTTAAATTTATATATGAACTCATCATTATCGTCATCCTCATCATCTTTTACAGACAGAGTGGTTCAGATCTGTTTTTGTTATGAAAGTGGATCTGGAACATGTGGGTTGAGTTGCGTGAGACGATAAAGAAACTATGGTTGGGAAGATGATATATACATATATGTATATGCAGAAAATCCAAGAGTGGTGTCAGTGTTCTTGAGCCAATCACATAAGCTGCACACAACCAGGTCATGGGACTTTCTTGAACAAGAGAGGAATGGAAGAGTTAGATTGGACTCTGCGTGGGTGAGGGGCAATTTTGGTCAGAATGTCATCATAGGCAGCATTGACACTGGTAATATAATTCCTTCTATCTATCAGTAAATGTCTGTATATATTCTGCCATAGTCCTATTAGAGCAAATGTGAGATAATTTGTGGTGTATTCCTCTTCTATATATAGAATGGATCTTATATGCAGGGGTTGGCTGGTAACCTGAGAACAGTGTTAGATAAAATTCCTCTCATATCCTCCCACATATTTACCTTTAAAGTCACTTTTAAAAAGCTAATATGAACACCCTCATAAGCAATATTTTTTGCTTGTTTGAAAATTTAATACGCTTTTTTATTTTTATGCCTAACAAATCCCACTTAGTATCTCTCACTCTTTCCCCACTTATTCTGTCTCTCACTCACCATCTTCATGAATAAGGGTATGTTTGAAAAAGAAATTATATTTCTTATATATTTATTAATTTTAACTAATTTGAGCTACCATTTTGATTGACGTAATTTTTAATTAGCTGCTGGGTGTATATATAAAAGACTGAAAGGACTACTAATTAATTTTTTAAATATAATTTTATTTTAATTTATTAGAAGAAGACTTGAAGGTTAATGTAGTATTTCTTTTGTATATTTTTAAATAAAAGTAAAATTTAAAATATTTATATACTTTAAGATAAAGTTAATGAGTTTCCAAATTTGCTTCCACAGGTGTTTGGCCAGAATCCAGAAGCTTCCGAGACAATGGATACGGACCAATACCAAGGAAGTGGCGCGGCGGATCCAAATGTGAGCTGCTCAGTTTGTCCGGCATTGCAAACAGAACTCTTTGCAACAGGTTCCATTTTTTTTTATTTATTTATTTTGCTAATTTAATTTGAATGCTTGCTTTAAAAACCTTATTAATTTCATTACCAAAATTATAGCGACAAGGAAACGGACAATTCGTCAATGGCTGGTGAGTAAGAACTTGTGATATGGCAGTGTGTGCAAGAAACTGCGATACCGATGTCTCACCATCTATCAAATATTGAAATATAGTATATCTAATTTACCTACCAAAACAAAAGAATATAATATAAAAACTCGTTTGATTCTTAATATAGGACTTAATTATTGAGTTGATTTTGATCTTATATATAAGACATATTTCTTATATATATCAGTTTTTTTTTAAATTACCCCTATGGATACTTTTTCAACTATAATCAAATAGAAGAAGGAGGGAGGATATTAAAAAAGATGATTATGGTGTTTTAGAAAAAGTATGTTATATTTCTTATAATTATCTAATTTATCTGACTTTCTTAATCTAATCAAATTAATTAAATATATTTTATACTAAGAACCGGAAAAGTATATATATGTTTAAATATAATATATGACATGCAGGAAACAACGAAGAATTGGACGATTCACAATTGGTTCGTATCAATGGGGATCACATGGCCTACCATGGGCTCACAACTTCCAACTATTTTTATACATTTCTTTATTTTGTTTGTAAAACAATTTTAATATTAAATTTAGCCCTCACATTCTCTGAAATTTTCAATTTTACCCACATCATATGTGTCTCTTTAGAGCCATCTCCATCACCAAATCATCTTAGATTATAAATATCAAGATTAGAGGCCAGATCTACAATTTTTTATATCATTATCTGACTCAATCAGATTCAAACATTATCAGGCTCAATTATAAAATTACATAGGCTCAAATTCGAAACCACTATTTAAGCAATCAAAGCCTCTCCCACTAAAAGCAATACCTCTTAGTTCAATGGGCACTTAATTTATACTATTTCATCTTTAATTATGTAAAAAAAAGTATATGCCAACCCTAATTGTTCTTGTGTGTGTTGATACAACCACTTTACACGAGTTTCAATCACTGTCAAGTCAATCAAATTTATTTTAATTTAAGCACACATACGGTAAGCCAATTTTTTCACCTTTAAAATTTATGTTGTTACTTTTAAGTTATATTAATTTCTTTCAATTTTACTAAAATTATTTTTAAAAAAATCAAAATTCCCCCAACACAAAGTCACAAACCTTTCACTATTGTTCAATTTAATTTTCTCCAATTAAAATACTACCCATGAACTTATTTATAGACACACACTCCAAAATTTAATAAGAAGAAAATCTGTATATCCATATACATGCTCACGATCTATGTAACATGATGAAACAGGAAGATAATAGGAGCAAAAACCTTCTTTCAAGGCTATGAAACAAAAAATGGACCCCTTAGCTCATCAACTCGAATCAGTGCCCGTGACAGTTTTGGCCATGGAACCCATACGTTGTCAACGGCCGGCGGCGAATTTGTGAGAGATGTGAGCGTTCTCCGAAATGGTAACGGCACTGCAAAAGGAGGATCTCCAAAAGCTCGTCTTGCAGTGTACAAAGTATGCTGGGGCAGCGGTAATTCTGAAGAGTGCACTGATGAAGACTTGATTAAAGCTTTTGATGAAGCTATTCATGATGGTGTTGATGTGCTCTCTGTTTCGATCGGCCGGAGCGCCGTCCCAAATGTCAACGACATGTTGACCAATGGGATCTCCATTGGATCCTTTCATGCAGTTTCAAGAGGTGTTCTAGTTGTTGCCTCTGCTGGTAACGATGGACCTGAGCTTCAAACTGTGTCCAATGTGGCACCTTGGATCTTCACTATTGCTTCTGGCTCTATTGACAGAGACTTCAGTAATAATATTACTCTCAGTAATGGCCAACTCATGAAGGTATTTGCCTATAACATCGAGATATCAATATCAGCATATATGTATATATACAGAAGCAGCACTATTAATAAGCTATTAACAGTTCAGCTCATTTCTCAACAAGACAACAATACACCAATGTGATATTATGCTTTTGATTGATTGTTTCTAATAACTTGGACAATCAGGGGACCAGTCTTGCCACAAACTCAACATCACGACAATTAGTTCCTGTGCTAATTGCTGGTAATGCTAGGCTTCCTAATGTGACATTTGACGATGCGTAAGAACAAAATTACCTATTCTTGAATAGATTTTTGAGTGTGTTGACCTATCAGATGTTTATATGTCAGTATGAGTACAAACATTTTGGCTCCTATTGCAGGGACCATTGCAAACCTGGAACACTTGATCCAAACAAAGTAAGAGGTAGTATATTGGTATGCCGGAGAGGAAGGAGCTTAAGGCCTGTGGACAAGGGACAAGAAGCAAAGCGTGCAGGTGCTTTGAAAATGATTCTGCAAAATGATGAGGATTTGAACACAGCCACAGCTGATGCTCAAGTTATAGATACTTCTAATGTTCCAACATATAGACATCCAAGAAAGAATAAGACCATATCCCAGCAGGAAAAGAATCCTTTGGATGTCAAGTAATTATTATACATCTTTCTCCTCTACCAATCCTTTTGAAATTGTTCTGAAATTATCTGATAACAGGGCAACATTTATAAATAAATTGTAGGAACCTTACTGCATTCTTGAATAACGCAAAAACATTTATCCCAATAAAGCCAGCTCCAAAAGTTTCAGCATTCTCATCCAGGGGACCCAACTTGATTCTGCCGTCAATCCTCAAGGTTATCCATTCTCAAACCATCTAATTTTCCCTAAATCAACTGCATGGTTCCTGAGTTTCTGTGATTCCTAACACTTTTTTTCCCAAAATTTAGCCTGATGTAATTGCACCAGGTCAGGATATAATTGCTGCTTATTCATCAGGGGCAAGTCCCACCAACCTAGATTTAGATGTAGGTCACTTTGACTATAACATTCTATCAGGAACCTCCATGGCATGTCCTCATGTTGCTGGCGTTGCTGGCCTTCTCAAGAATCGCCATCCTAGATGGAGTCCAGCTGCTATCAAATCAGCAATTATGACCACAGGTATGACATACATGAAGTGCTATTGTTATGTGTTTATGGTTTCCTTCTTTTGTTTTCTCACTAATTGAAGCATTTCTAAATCTATGCCCATCCAGCAACCACCCAGGATAATGCCAAACGGCCAATTCTAGATGAAAATGATGATGAAGTAGCAACTCCATTTCATTATGGTTCAGGACACATAAAACCTAACCTTGCAATGGACCCCGGACTTGTTTATGATTTGAAGGCCTCTGATTACCTAAACTTGTTATGTACTTCAGCTTATGAGGAAAGAATAGTTGAATCCATTAATAATAATAAGCCATACAAATGTCCAAGGTCCTACAGACTAGAAGATTTCAACTACCCTTCTATCACATTGCCTTTTCTGAGTGTGAAACCTATAAATGTTACTCGTACAGTAACAAATGTTGGTCCTCCAAGTACATATACTGTAAATGTCAAAGCCCCAGCAGGAGTTGAAGTTGTTGTTCTTCCAACAACTTTGACATTCCAGGGGACAAACCAAAAGAAGAGCTATCTAGTTATTTTTCAAGCAACACGTTCAGCCAAAACTTCAGAGCCTTCATTTGGAGAGTTGACATGGACAGATGGCAAGCACAAAGTGAGAAGTCCTATAGTAATCCCTCAACATGCAAAAATGGCTCTGTAGATTTCAATGTTACCAATCCAGTGTGTTGTGTGTTAATCAGATAGTGAGAGGTAGTGTTAGAGTGACTGTTTTCAGATGTGTGGATATGCTGAACTATGTTATAATTTAAAAATGACGGTTCCTACCAGAAAATAAACCCGCTAGGTCCTCCCAAGCAACTTCAACTTCTGATTTACTGCTTTGGTTTCTACTTTCTTCTATTTGAGTCCTATTGGGTTTCCATTTTGCCCCTGTTTTGTTGAATCATGTGTTGGTCTTTCATCTGCAGAAAAATGATACTGTCCACTTATTTTGAAGTACATAAAGCACATATGAGCCCATATAAAAGGCAACTTTGAAAATAATCTTACTGAGAAATAGATCAATCATCCTCCTGCACAAGACTTGGTGAGAACAAAGAAACAAGGCTCACTATCCACTTAACTCGTTATTCTTGGTAATCCTTATTTGAGATGCAAATAAGATCCGTAATGACCGGCTATTTGACCTAGTAATTTATACCATTCAAATCCAAATATAAAGGCAAAGTAAACCAAATGATATATCTGGTTAAATTCTGTTATGACGCCTGTCCCTAAATTATATTCATGTGAAACAGAGCTAGTTAATATACAAGGATTCAATGCAAATAGCAATCGAAGAATTACACTGCCATAACCTATCTAAGAAATTGAATATACTCAGATCATTAAGTTCGCTAAGAAGCTTAGAAACAAAGAAGCATAACCCATTTCAACGACACAGTAATTATCAAACGATACTCTTGTCACTGTTTACCCTTGATTTTGAGCTAAGCGACGACACCATAGAAGCTTAGGTCAACAGCAGTGGCGCAATTCCTCGATTCAACGACAGATCAGGAGTGTCTACGGTCGATTGAGAAAATCGGGGGGAAGGTCATGGAGAACGTGGAGGCAGAGGTTCACCCAGAAAATTTGTATATATTTTCTGGAAAAACATAAATTTTATTTTTGTTTGCACATGAAAAGAAAAAATCAGAGTTCTTTTAAAACAACAAAGTTGATTTAATTTAGCCTAATTTTAAATTTTTATAAAATATTGAAGTTGCCGTTTTTTTAAAAAAAAAAAAATAAGTTTTAAGTTCGTGAGAAATCTTTTTGTAAAAAAAGAACCTGAAATTAGAAGAAAATTTAAATTATTTTAAAAATGACAGTCAACTTTTTGTTAAAGAAATTCAAGTGCATTAGGTTTGGCCCAGACCCACCACGTGTAGGTACGTTTTTGTGAGAATATTTAGAAATTGCTCATAAAAATTTTTACATTAAACATACACTTTTTTTTATAATCAATTAAAGTAATTTTACTAGCAATAAATTCCTTAGATAGCACCATGTCGTTTCTTATATGCCAAAGCTACAATGCCACACTACCATAACACTAAAAATGTACTTAATGACGCTAGAATGGAGTGAAATTAAATTTTTTTTAAAAGTAAAAAAATCATAAATTTAATTCTACATGTAATCTCAAACTATTGGTATCTATCATTTTGAAATTAAAAAAAAAAAAAAACACTGTTGTGATAGACGTGGCCCACCCTAAAGGTTCATCCGTAGAAAAACAAAATAATTTGACAGTATTTATAGCTTTGTCAAATTTTAAAAAGTTATGGTGGTAGATGTATTCGAAAAAATACGTCAAATTGTTAGATGTATCTTAACCCAATTTTAAACTATAACTCTATACTTTTTTTTTTATTGGATCTTTATTGGTGTTGGTTCTTTTATTGTTACAGTGTTCTTATATTTTATTTATGGGCGATGTGGCATTGACTATGCAAATTCTCTACCCCTCCTTCACTCACTTTTTAAAGTGAATTTTTTTTTCAGTTCTAAAAATTTGACCACGAGTTTTAGTTGTGTTCCTTAAAATTTAAAATAAACGATTTTGATTTCCTAAAATTTAACTTCATTTTGGTTTTAATTTTTAAAATTTGACTACATTTTAGTTTGCCTAAAAATTTGTGGTTCCTATTGAAACCTTATTTTGAGGATCTAAACCAGAGTGACATCAAATTTTAGGGACTAAAAATAATATATTAACTCAAAAAAAAATATCATGTGACTTGATTTATGAAATAAATTTAACCACAACAAAAACAATGATGGATTAATTTTGAATGGCGATACTTTACCCTTCAGATAATTATTTTTTGGATATGATTCACATGAGTACAATGTACGATCACGTGGGATGATTATTAAAGGTGCTTGATTCTATTATTACCTAACACATTGCGAAATCAATTGCAACAATGAACATTATTGCCGGCTGGTTAGCGTCACTAATAATTATATACTGTCATTTTAAGTAGAGCACCATATTTTAAAATTTTTAAGATACCTCAAATGTTTGGGGTAAAACATTAGCTAGTGTCAAATCTCGTACACAAACACGAACAAGAATGATCATCATTTCTATTATTCTATAAGAGTGAAAGATACTACCTCTCGTTATTATTAAATAAGATCTTGTTTAATTTTTATTTTAGTTCTAAGCATATAACCCTAGTTCATTTTGTCTTTCATATTTATGTATTTTTTCCAATGTAATTTTTCTAATAATAGTAATTCTAACCAATACACTTGATTAGTCTGGATATTTTAGAAAAAAACAACATCTATTTATTACAAATAATAAACTTAACTTATTTTTTAATCTACTTAAATTAATTAATTAGCTTTTATATTTAGGATGGACAGTAATATAATGCTCAAAGCAAACATTCACTTTTATTCAAGCCACAAACTGACCCTACATATGGTACATATGATATTTTGAGAGCCTACAATTAGAATGTTCATCAACATATCAGGAGAGACGCAAATGACTTAGGAGTTTAATCATTCATTAGTTGTTTAATTGTGATCGTGGCAAATGGTTCTTCCATGTGAGGCTTTGGTTGCCGTTCAAGCTTCATAGATGCTTGTTCCATGGTTGGACGAGACTGAGGATTCTCATTCAAACAAGAAAATGCTATTTTTGCGACTGCAATAACCTCGTCAAGGATTGATTTCCTAGGTGGTGAAAGTCGTGAGTCCAACACATCCTTTAACAGCAAATCATATGTGGTTGATTTTTCTGTCAAAGATGAAATAAGCTCTCCTGGATGTACTCCCATAATTATCTCTAAAGTCAACACTGCAAAGCTATAAACATCACATTTCTCGTTTGCTTCCATAATGTATGCAATCTCTGCAGTAATTTTAATGTTAACAACCTTAATATAACAAAGAGTAGTAGTAGAGTATTTTAGAAGAAAACAAAAAAGTAAAATTGGACTTACCTGGAGCAGCATACCCGAAGGTACCAACGAATGTGGTCATATTTTTTGAGTCAGGATTGAGAAACTTCGCTGCTCCAAAGTCAATGAGCTGAGCTTCTTCATATCCTGTAGTAAGAAGAACATTCTTGCTTGATATGTCACGATGAACAATGGGAATTGAACAGCCATGATGCATATGGAATAAAGCACTGGCGACACCTTTAACAACATTCACTCTCTTTTTCCAATCAAGCTTAGTGGCTTGGTTCTCATTCTTTAGTATGTTGTTCAAGCTGCCACCTTCCAAGAACTCATAGACCAAAAAAGAGAATCGTGGATTCGAACAAAAACCATACAACTTCACAATGTTACGATGTTTGATTTCTATCAAAGCTCAAATCTCACGTGTGAAAGCTTTCTCATTGAAGATTTCTCCATTGGGTAAGGAATGAAGCTTTTTTACAGCAAAAATATCACCAGTTGGTAACTCCGCCCTATAAACACTTCCTTGGCCACCTTTCCCAATGAGATATCTGTCATCAAAGTTCATTGTGGCTTCGATGATATTTTCATACAATATTTCTCTATTGGAACTCCATACAAAATAAATGTCTTGTGATTGTGCTTCTTCATCTTTGTTTTTGGCTTTTCTTGTGCATAGGAAAAAAATACAAGAAGCTCCAACCACTACCAGTACTAATAGTATGGCCAATAAAAGGAGAATCTTCAAGAAGATTTTGCTCTTACCACGCATTTCAGAATTACTGCAAGGATGTAAACCAGTGACATTACCACACAAACCTTTATTATTCTTCAATCCTTCAAATATTCGAAAGGCTGGTTTGTTTGGAACAGGGCCTTCTAATTGATTGTTTGATAGGTCAACAGTAGTCAAAGTTGACATTGATCCATTGAAACTAGAAGGAATGGTGCTAGTGAGATCATTATGTGAGAGGTTTAATACTTGCAAATTGGGCAACATTCCAAGCCCTGATGGTATTGTTCCATTGAGAAAATTTTCACTGAGATCAAGTCGTTCAAGCTCTTGGAGTTGACCAAACGCAAGGGGAATGCTTTCATGAAACTCGTTTTTGCTCAAGTTCAAGAACTTTAACCTTCTTAGCTCTCCAAGCTCTCTTGTGATTGAGCCGTTGAACCTATTTACTGCCAACTCCAAAGTTTGAAGCTGACTAAGTGATCTTATCTCTATAGGGACATTTCCAGAGAAGTTATTGTGGCTCAAAGAGAGTTTTTGCAAGATGATCAACTTTCCCAATTCTTTTGGAAGTTGTCCAGATAAATGATTTGAAGACAAGTCAAATTCACCAAGCTTAGCTGCCTCCCCTATCTCCAATGGTATTTCACCAGAAAGGTTGTTATTGTGAATAAACAATTGTTTGAGATTTTGACACTTGCCCCACTTGGATGAAACATGGCCATACAATTTATTTCCACTTAGATCAATGAAGTCCAAATTAGGATATACTCCAAAAGCATCTGCTATATTGTCAGCTAGTTGGTTACCCTGAAGCTTGAGTCTTCCTAAACTAGAACAATTCTTCAAACTAGTTGGAATGGGACCCATGAACTGGTTATTTTGAGCAACAAACCTATATAACTTCCCATCCTGACAAATCTGTTGTGGCAATTGGCCATGGAAATGATTATCACCCAGTTGTAAATTGTGCCAAGTTATGTTATTCATTTCTCCCGGAAGGTGACCACTAAGATTGTTCTCCATCAATACTAGAGTGTTGAGCTTTGTCAAGTTTCCTATAGTGGAAGGAATAGGTCCTGAAAGATTGTTATGTTCTAGATAGATTTCTTGTAAATTGATCAAGTTTCCAATGGATTGAGGAATTGAACCAAAAA